CCGGCATCCGTCATAATGTGCCAGTACTGGTGCTGAAGCAAGTCTCTTCTTGAGCTCGCTAAATCCCTGCTCTTCTGTAGCTGTCCATCGCCACTTTTCTCTCTTCTGTAGAAGCTTGTATAGCGGCGCAGCCACTGACGACATGTCCGGTATAAATCTTGCATAGAATGTGACTGCTCCGAGAAAACTTCTCAATTCGCTTGTGTCTCGCGGTGGCGGTGCATGTAACACCGGGTCGATCTTTTCTTTCACCGTTTGGACTCCCGCAGCGCTGATCTCCACTCCTAAGTACTGGACCGACGACAGCAGGAACTTGCATTTGGCCTGCTTCAAGACCAGCTTCCAGCTTATCAGTCTTTGCAGAGTCTGGTCCAGCCTCTTGAGTGCCTCTTCCTTCGTAGCTCCAGCCACCAGAACATCATCCAGGAAACACATTGTTCCTGGCGAGTTTTCCAAAATTTTCTCCATGGCCCTCTGAAATGTAGCAGGAGCCGAGGATATTCCATAGGGGAGTCGTTTCATTTTTAACAGTCCCCGCGGTGTGTTCAGCACCGTGAACTTTTGACTCTCTTCATCCATCTTCATTTGCAGATATGCGGTGCTGAGGTCGAGCTTGCTGAAATACTTCATTCCAGCCAGTTTTGGTAGCATATCTTCCAGGTTGGGCATCGGGTGCTGTGGTACGTCGAGCTGCTTATTGACAGTGTGTTTATAGTCTCCACACAGCCTCACTCCGCCGCCGGGTTTTGGGACAACGACTAGCGGCGTAGCCCAGTCGGAATATTCAATCCGCTCAGCAATGCCCATCTTCTCCCACTTTTTAAGCTCTTCATCGACGGCGTCTTGAAGGGCGTACGGAACCGGTCTTACTTTCCTAAAGACTGGCTCGGCGTCATCTTTGAGCTTCAGCTTCGCTGTCAGATCGGCGATCTGTCCAAGCTCGTCTTTGAACACTTCCTGGTTGTCTGCTAACACTTTCTTGAGTGTCAGCCGGGAACCGCCGTCTGTTTCCAGTTGATTCACCGTATCGGTGCGCATCACAAGTCCCAGGAGCTCCGCGGTGGTTCCGTTTAGCAAGGACACATCTCCGTGCGCCGCAATGATCCAGCAGCTGAGTGCTTCCTTTCCTCCGACTTGGCTTCGTGCCAGGAATTCTCCATCGAGCTTCAGTGCTTCTTTGGTGCCGTAGGGCAGAAGCCGTCTGCTTGTTTTTGTCGCCTTTACACCTTTCAGCTTCTTGAAATCTTTTCGGGTGATAATATCGACGGACGCGCCTGTGTCGACCAGAACTTGGATTTTGGTATTTTCGATCAATATTTCAGTCAGTCCCTGTTTCAGCTTTTCTTGGATGGGCTTCTTCGGTCTGGTGGAGAAAACCAGCTCATCTTCACCCTGTTCAGCGCTTTCTTCTTGTAGGTGGTTTACCCGTCTTCTAGGTTCCAGAGTTGTCTGTGGCTGCCGTGTCTGAGTAGACCAGCAAGCCCTGGCAAAATGATTTTTGCCGCCGCACTTGTGACAGGTCTGACCCTTCGTTGCGGTACAGGCGTTTGAATTATGCCCTCTTCGTCCGCACCGAGTGCAGGCAGGAATTCCGCTTCCGGCGGAAGTTCGCTGTCCCTGTCCGTTGAATGGCTTGGATGGAGCTCGATATTTCTGTCGAACTCTGTTGACGTTTTCGTTTTGTGGCTCAGACTGCTCAGTTTCTGGACTGGGGTCCTTCTCTTTGCCGTTCTTCTCTTGAAGTTTTTGGCATTGGGTCCGTACTTGGAGATAGGACTCCCAGATTTTTACCGCGTCTTCTGTAGTCAGTTTATGGGCTTCGAGCAGACGAACTTGCAAAGTCTGATGGGGACATCTTGCTATGAGTATATCCCGGATCATTTTGTCTCTCTGTTCCCTCGAGAAATTGCATTTATCTGCTTGCTTTCTCAGACGCACAACAAAATCTCGGACGTTCTCGTCGTTATCAGTCATGTTCATGCTATGAAAGATATTTCTCTCGTAAATCGTTCGGACCTGTGGCTTTAACAGCGATCGCAGCTGCTGCTTGGTACGCTCGTACTCATCGGTTCCCTCTAAATTATTTTCGTAGACCGTGTCGATGTCTTTCAGCCGCTGCTGTATGTCGGTTCCAAGTAGATGTAGCATCAAAGCTCTTTTCCGTTTTGGTTCCTCGATCCCAAGCGCACATAAATAGATTTCAAAGGAATCTATCCACATGTCAAAGTCTTCTCCCTCCCTATATTTCTGAGGGGCATCTACACTTAATGCCATTTTAATTTCCGTTACGTTACCTACTTTTAGTAGCGTTAACGTTACGTTAATCGGCGCTCTAAGTTTACGTTACTTTATAACGTTAAATTCATCTCATCCTTGTCGCCATTATGTTATGACTTAATTATCCATGTTTCTTTGTTGCATTTTATTCACACACTTTCCTCAGTTCCACACACTGATTTTCCTAAATTTTGCATGTAAAAGTAAAGCACGTGAGTACATGTATGTTGGCCTGATTAACGGAGGTCTGACATTATTGCGAATATGTAAATAATATGATACTTTGTAACAACGCCTTTCGCTTTTTGGTGATATTTAGACCCACACGCGACTCACGCTACACTACAACACTAGCTGGCCCGGCTCTCTCGCTCTGCCAGCCGCGCGGGGTGCGGTCCGAGCGCCGCAAACGTCCGGCCGGGTCAACGTCTACCGGTCAACTCGACAACTATCTATGGAGTTTCAGTAACATTGGTTATTTCAGTACCTAATAGGTCTGGTGGAGGGGAGGGGGCGCGTTATGGCCCCGCGAGGCGCCCAGAAAGGGGAGGGGCACGACCCGGAAAACCTACCGATCACTGTACCAGAGCAAACATTGTCTTTTGTTATTTCCATTCAACATCTCTGTTTACAAGTTTGTTTTTTTCACCGACGTACTTTAATCCTAAACTAATGTATTCTTGGTAACATTCACTACGTTTCCATGACACGTCTAAATCGATTTAGCGAAATTTCACGTGCGTTTTTCTCGGAAACTATTTACCTTATGCAAAAAATGAGCGTATATATGGTTTTAGCTAGCACCTAATCCTATATTTACATTTTTAAATTATGCCTTAAAGGGACCCTCCCACCTTAACCCGGCGGCCGCTGGGCCTCCGCGCCACCCGCCGGCCGCTGGGGGGGGGGGGGCATAAAGTTGCCCCCCCTTTACTTCTGCGACGATATCGTCGCAACGCGAAGAGATAGAGAAGCGAAACTTTGCACACATCTTTCTGAATACCTAGCCGAGGTTGTGTCCAAATTTGGTGTCGATCCCATTTCAAATGACGTCACAGTGACGTCATAAGTGAAATTATAGATTTGCGACTCTCATATTCCTCACGATACATCACATAAATGGGACCGAATATAAAGGGCCGATTATTGGTCAGAAACTAGATGAAAGTGTAGTAAGATGTTTTAGGATGACAGCAGGTGCTGTCTAGTTCATTTACAGTCGAGTTTCATGCTCAGCGTCATCAGAAACGGTCCATATCGGAAAACGACAAAACTTTATGACGTCACTGTGACGTCATCTTAGGTGCTACAACCACCAAACTTTCCTCAAACATTGCCTAGGTATTCAGTTGAAGCTATGTCAAGTTTCACGTTCGTAGCTCATCAGGTTTCGGAGATATTTCACAAAACGTAAAGGGGGGGGGGGGCAACTTTATGCCCCCCCCCAGCGGCTCATGGGTTAACATTAGATTTGAGTTGAGATTGCCAAAATGGGGTCCCTGGCTCACAATTACCGGTTTCGGCACTCACAACATCCAGAAATGCCTTAAATCGGAAATATTGAATTTCAAAATTGCAGCATTTTGATTCAGAGAGGCTAATGCATAGGAATACCCCTCTGAATGTGTGACGTCAGCGCAGATATCTAACGATTTTGAAATGTTTGACTAAAACGTTTTGTAGCACGCGGTGGTATATGCTGCTTTGCGTGCAACAAATGCCGCACTTTCAAATAAAGTCACTAGGAACTAGAGATGTCTGTCGGATACCAACTTTTTGGTATACCGATACCAAACCGATACCAACTTGGTATTTGGTATTTCAATCCTACTGTTTTTGGTATTTTGTTGGTATTATGAATCCTCACCAATGTATAAAAGGCTGTGAATTTGGTAAATGGTTGGTATTTTCCGGGTATTTCCAAGTTGGTTTGGTTTCGGTATTTTCCCATGGTTTTGGTTGGTATTTGGTTTGGTATCGGTATCCTGATTTTCTGTAATTGACATCACTACTAGGAACAGCGGAGATCCCAAAAAGTAAACAATCGTAAAAGTCTAATAATACTAGTCTAATATCTTGAAAACCAGTGAATATTTTTCGATGAAATTTGGTAGATATTCGTTTTTGCTCTTTCTGAACCGAGCGACATCACTTTCATGCCAATTCATTAACTTTTTTGAAGGTGGGAGGGTCCCTTTATTGCTATGATGGAGCAAATCCATTTTGCAAAATCGGCTTAGCTTGTGTCATGGAAACGTAGCCATTGTTCGGCTTTTTGCATTTTTAATGTCGAGGAAAAGGTTAATTTCTTTTACTTATCTGATTATATTCAATATGTTCATCGCTCGAGCACTTAACATTTACCTTTTTTTAAATACATTATTCGGCTTTTGCATTTTTAATGTCGAGGAAAAGGTCAATTTCTTTTACTTATCTAATTATATTCTAATGGATAAATGATAACAATAACACGTCAAATGTATATTTAAACACACAAAGCTTTCGGTATGAAAATACCTTGATCACTGTGTTATTAAATATACATTTGACGTGTTATTGTTATCATTTATCCTAACTGTCTTGGATATTCTACATTATATTCTAATGTATTCTTCTTAACGACCGTCTGAGGCCACCATACAGCCGACTGGCCAGGGGGACGAAATGTGGTGTAGGCGGCGCTCGTGTTCACTGTGTGTGTGTATGTGTATGTGTATGTATGTATGTCTATGTGCGCCGCGCTGTGCCGGCAGAGCCGGCGGGCGCCGACGGCGGCTGGCGCAGCGGCACGCCGTCGCCGCTGGGCTCCCAGTACTGGTCGGCCGAATCGTCTCCGAGCGAGGCGCGCGCCGGCTCTCCGTCAGCCGTCTTCTTCAGCCGGTCACCAAGTAAGCCGACTGGTGGGCACTGGTGGGCACCCCAGACCAGCTGCCCTAGCTCCATCGGCGCTCCACCCATATCGAAACACACGATTCATTCTCAGAAACAACTTCACTATTGGATCTCTGTTCAAGTACATCATGTCGTGAGATCCATACAGCCACAGGTCATAGGTATCCCCAATTATTGCCCGTGGGATCCACATAGATCATAGATCCTAACCTACAGAATTGTCGCGAAATGACAATAGATCATAGATCCAACCTCAACGTTTGAGATCCACTGAGACACAGACTTCTCTATATATATAGAGAGAGAGAAGTCTGTGACTGAGATCATAGATCCAGCCTGTAAAATTTGTCGAGAGATCCACCAGGATCAAAGGCCCACCTTTCAGATCCATGCACATGTCTGGTTGTGACCAATTGTGACTGATGCTGTGACTAGTGTGAGCGACGTTTACTGATGCCAGTGCTGATGTTAGTCGCTGACGCTGTCCCACTGACGCTGCTGCCGCTCGGCAGAGAGAGCGGCTCTGGGACGGCTGGACCCGGACATATACCGGCTGCCCGACCAGACCGAGGCCGATCAGACGGAGCAGCGCGCCGCACTCGGTGAGCGGAGCGGGCCAGCCCAGCAGCCCCATATACCGGCCAGCCCCAGCAGCCCCATACACCGGCCAGCCCCATATACCGGCCAGCCCCAGCAGCCCCATATACCGGCCAGCCCCATATACCGGCCAGCCCCAGCAGCCCCATATACCGGCCAGCCCCAGCAGCCCCATATACCGGGCCAGCCCCATATACCGGCCAGCCCAAGCAGCCCCATACACCGGCCAGCCCCATATACCGGCCAGCCCCAGCAGCCCCATATACCGGCCAGCCCCAGCAGCCCCATACACCGGCCAGCCCCAGCAGCCCCATATACCGGGCAGCCCCAGCAGCCCCATATACCGGCCAGCCCCAGCAGCCCCATATACCGGCCAGCCCCAGCAGCCCCATATACCGGGCCAGCCCCATATACCGGCCAGCCCCAGCAGCCCCATATACCGGCCAGCCCAGCAGCCCCATACACCGGCCAGCCCCAGCAGCCCCATACACCGGCCAGCCCCATATACCGGCCAGCCCCAGCAGCCCCATACACCGGCCAGCCCCAGCAGCCCCATATACCGGGCAGCCCCAGCAGCCCCATATACCGGCCAGCCCCATATACCGGCCAGCCCCAGCAGCCCCATATACCGGCCAGCCCAGCAGCCCCATACACCGGCCAGCCCCAGCAGCCCCATACACCGGCCAGCCCCAGCAGCCCCATATACCGGCCAGCCCCATATACCGGGCCAGCCCCAGCAGCCCCATATACCGGCCAGCCCCATATACCGGCCAGCCCCAGCAGCCCCATATACCGGCCAGCCCCAGCAGCCCCATATACCGGGCCAGCCCCATATACCGGCCAGCCCCAGCAGCCCCATATACCGGCCAGCCCAGCAGCCCCATATACCGGCCAGCCCCATATACCGGCCAGCCCAGCAGCCCCATATACCGGCCAGCCCAGCAGCCCCATATACCGGCCAGCCCCAGCAGCCCCATATACCGGCCAGCCCCATATACCGGCCAGCCCCAGCAGCCCCATATACCGGCCAGCCCCAGCAGCCCCATATACCGGCCAGCCCCAGCAGCCCCATATACCGGGCCAGCCCCAGCAGCCCCATATACCGGGCCAGCCCCATATACCGGCCAGCCCCAGCAGCCCCATATACCGGGCCAGCCCAGCAGCCCCATACACCGGCCAGCCCCAGCAGCCCCATATACCGGCCAGCCCCAGCAGCCCCATACACCGGCCAGCCCCATATACCGGCCAGCCCAGCAGCCCCATATACCGGGCCAGCCCCATATACCGGCCAGCCCCAGCAGCCCCATATACCGGCCAGCCCAGCAGCCCCATATACCGGCCAGCCCCAGCAGCCCCATATACCGGGCCAGCCCCATATACCGGCCAGCCCCAGCAGCCCCATATACCGGCCAGCCCCATACACCGGCCAGCCCAGCAGCCCCATACACCGGCCAGCCCAAGCAGCCCCATATACCGGCCAGCCCCATATACCGGCCAGCCCCAGCAGCCCCATATACCGGGCCAGCCCGAGCAGCCCCATATACCGGCCAGCCCGAGCAGCCCCATATACCGGCCAGCCCCAGCAGCCCCATATACCGGGCCAGCCCCATATACCGGCCAGCCCCAGCAGCCCCATACACCGGCCAGCCCGAGCAGCCCCATATACCGGGCCAGCCCCAGCAGCCCCATATACCGGGCCAGCCCAAGCAGCCCCATATACCGGCCAGCCCCATATACCGGCCAGCCCCAGCAGCCCCATATACCGGGCCAGCCCAAGCAGCCCCATATACCGGCGGGCAGCCCGAGCAGCCCCATATACCGGGCCAGCCCCATATACCGGCCAGCCCCAGCAGCCCCATATACCGGGCCAGCCCTATCAGCCCCATATACCGGCCAGCCCCAGCAGCCCCATATACCGGCCAGCCCCAGCAGCCCCATACACCGGCCAGCCCAAGCAGCCCCATATACCGGGCCAGCCCCAGCAGCCCCATACACCGGCCAGCCCGAGCAGCCCCATATACCGGGCCAGCCCCAGCAGCCCCATATACCGGGCCAGCCCAAGCAGCCCCATATACCGGCCAGCCCCATATACCGGCCAGCCCCAGCAGCCCCATATACCGGGCCAGCCCAAGCAGCCCCATATACCGGCGGGCAGCCCGAGCAGCCCCATATACCGGGCCAGCCCCAGCAGCCCCATATACCGGGCCAGCCCAAGCAGCCCCATATACCGGCGGGCAGCCCGAGCAGCCCCATATACCGGCCAGCCCGAGCAGCCCCATATACCGGCCAGCCCCAGCTGCCCCATATACCGGCCAGCCCCATATACCGGCCAGCCCGAGCAGCCCCGGGCATATACCGGCCAGCCCCAGCAGCCCGAGCAGCCCCGGGTTGTTCTCGAGATACATGAGCGGATCCCACACATGCGCACGTGCAACAGCACCCCGACCGTGACACATGATAATTTATTGCCACATGGAACCCATATAGGTAAGTAAAATAGAATAGTTATACAAGCCATGAGTTTCATAATAATCGTTCCAATCCTTGCAAAGATATGTGACTTGTGAGAGAAGCCATTTAAACGCTCCTGATTTGGCATTTGAGAGAGAGAGCCACGCGCCGGGACGGTTACCCGGATACATCAAAACAGTTATTCAGTTTTTAAAATGATTGGGCTATCTGATGCTCCAGACCGCTGATGAATCGGCCAAGCGGTTGCCAAAATATATGGCTGGAAAAGGGTAAACGAAATACGAGGGGGTACCCAAAAGTAACGGGAATCGTTCTCTGTAGGCCAAGCCAGTTGTAGCTCGGCATTGCCCTGCTAGGGGCAAACCTGTCTGGCCCCTGGGACTTAGTCTGCACCGTGAGGTGACGAAATAAAGAGGCGCGGCCCCGTGGCGCACGTATTTATTGAAGCACTCCCGCCCGATCCGTCGTTTTTTTATGCATAGCGGAACTGAGCAACAACGCGCATCTGTGAAATTTTGTTTCCTGCTGGGGAAGTCCGCGACTGAAACGGTTCCAATGCTTCAAGTAGCATACAAATATGCTGCCGTGAGCAAGACGCGGGTTTATGAATGATTTTCGCACTTCAAAAGTGGTCAAATGTTATCCCAAAAGCGCCCCAAAAAAGCTTGCCAAGTGAAGTCAAATGTCAAGACAATGCTGATTTGTTTTTTCGATGAAAAGGGAAGTGTGCAAAAGGAAATTGTTCCTCCCTGGTCAAACTGCCAATCAGACGTTTTACTTGGACGTTCTGCGGCGTGTGTGAAACACGGTGAGACGAAAACTCCCCGACAGGTGGCGAAGCGGGGAGTGGTGATTTCATCGCGACAGTGTGCCAGCGCACACCGCCTGGAGTGTCAGACAATTTTGGACAAAAAATGCACGACCCCACGGATCCACCCTCCCTATTCACCGGATTTGGCACCCTGTGACCTTTTCCTGGTCCCCAGAATGAAAAAGACCTCAAGGGAAACCATTTCGACGACTTTGATAAGGTAAAAGCAAAAACGACGATGGCTCTGCAAGGCATCACCTTGCAAGGGTTCCAGAGCTGCTTTGAGAGCTGGAAAACGCGTCTGCATAGGTGCATTGTCTCGCAGGGAGAGTACTTTAAGAATGACATGAGTGACCATGTGTAGGGATCAGTGAATAAACAGATATGAAACAATTCCCGTTTCTTTTGGGTACCCCCTCGTACAGTTCGTTTACAGACCCAGGTCACTTGACCCTCGCCGGCCGAGGGGGGGGGGGGCGTGTGCCCCCCCTAGGGTTTTTTCGCGATAGCTCCGAACACGCTAACGATAGAGAGCTGATACTTGGCATACCTAACCTTTGGTTCAAACCGGATCTTTTGACACCAACTGCATTTTTGGGTCAGGTCAGGTCACTGACCTATGACGTCATAAGTGAACCTCTGCACGGTCTTCAGATGTCGCAACTTCGCAACGCCCTCACTGCCAGAGGAGCTTTCACAGGGAAATGAAACTTGCAGGATCTAGTATCCATTACGAGTCTCACAACTTGTCTTTCTCGGATTTTTCCTAAAGGTAATAGGAGGTCAGGTCATTTTCGTGACCTCACCATTATAAGTCAACGGGGAAAAATGAAAACTGCTTTTCTGGCGCCGGGAACGATCTCCAACTATCTCAAGCACACAGAATCGTGATTTGATGCACTCCTTGCAAGGTAAGATGCGTCACTTTTGCAATATTGACCTTGCGTGACGTCATTTATGACGTCATCAAGGTCATATTAGTTTTTCGTCAATAACTCTTGATCAAATTGAGCTAGCGAGTCGGGAAAGCCACCAATGGACTCAGGAAGACCTGCCGAATCGAATGATATGCGACATGACCTATTTCGACCAGCTTCGTGACCTGGGGGCGCTGACCTGACCGTGACCTGAGGTCAACACCCTAAGTTGACCTGACCCAAACAAAAAATATATCAATCGACGCGCCTGAGCGAGGCGAACACGATGATGCCAAAATCGCGGCCCTGCGGCCATTTTTGCGAAGTTATTCACCAAAAACTGAATTGTACCTTGGAGCACTTGACCTGACCTCAGAGGTCACCGGGTGACCTAGGACCTTAAAATCGCCGATGTACCCGCCCCCCGCCCCCTCGGCCGGCGCGTATGTAGAAAACCTATAGGTCCGGGCCGTCGAAGGTTAAACTGGCTTCTGAGGGCCCACACCGGCCTCTGATAGTCAATCAGCCCAGTTGCAGTGGTCGCTGATATAAACCTCCTAAAAACGTTATAGGCCTGGCTGAGACTAGCTGGGCCGTTCATGCTGCTTTTTATAGGTAGGTATATTGAAAAGACTCGCTTTGCACGTTTCACGCTTGCTCGTAATGGAAAAGTTGCTGGATGCCTCTGGAATTTGCATGGATGCCAACCAGTGGCGTATCCAGGATCTTGAAAAGGGGGAGGCCAAACCTGCTCAAGGGGCCCCACCCTTACCTTAGGGGCCCCAGTAGTGACGCACTTAACCCA